GCCTGTAGGCGCACTGTAGAGCCGTATTCAGACCCCGAAACAAGTAAGTACCCCTCACCCTATTTCCTATCACGATATTAAAGCTAAATAAATAATTAAACTCTACTGTGTGACTTTATAGATGTATAATTGATTAAGGTTGCCAGTGGAGCCCGAGTCTGATACAGTGTCGATCTGTTATTGTTTGATCTAATTTTCAGTATTAAATGTAGCATGATGTTTGATGTAATTATGTTATGGTCTCGTATGCATGAATCATGGTTTCTTTTATTATAGTTTGTATTATGGTGAACCCGGTACTGTATTGTCTTATTTGGTGTCAATTACTGGTTTACATGTTGTGTATGATTGGATGATTGAGATTAAGGAAAAAGGTAAAAAGGTTATATGAATTGATAAGTAGAAAATGTGGACAGCCTCACTAGATATCCTGGGAGATGGTGGACGGACTGGGTCCGTAGGGAACCCTACGGGGAACGTGGTCTCTCATACCAGACGGGGTATGGAGACCTTATGTGTTTTGGCGCCCATACTGAACGGGGAATGGGGACGGCCCGTTTCACCCTCATACCGGACGGGGTATGGGAACGGCCCTAGAATCAGGTTATAAATGTTAAGGGTTCACGGGTAGCGAGACCCCTATGGATCCCCATGGATACTAGTAGACTGGTAAATGAGGAAAATATGTTGTTTAATGATTGAAATGCAAAGGCGTGGTAAGTATTATGTTATACAGTTCATATGATTTCATGATGATGATAATGTTATTGTTTTCATATATTGTTTTATGGATCTCGCCGAGGTAAGTAGACAGTAAAGGATTTTATTACTGATAAAAGAATTTGTTATAAATTATGCTTCATTGGTCTTTTTGTGTTTTCTACCCACCTTTACCTCCGTGGCAGTGAGATATTGTGATGTCTTTACTGGGCTGGTGTAGCTCATTCCTTATTTAACTATTTCATATCAGAAAGACATTGTTCCCGAGCCCGTTCCACAGGAAGACGGCGAGGGGGACGCCTAAAGACTCCGTAGTTATATTTATAATTCTTATTTTCGAATATCTCTTTTAGTTAGTTTGTTCTTTTATATTTTGAGCACGTTTTTGATTTTGTGTAAGGGATGTTAATCAAAATTTTTATTACGATTCCGCATTTGACATTTTTAATACACATATTTTATTTTAAATTTTCGGGGCCGTTACAACCCGCCGCCCAGAAATCACGTCTGAAAGTGTAATCTGTTATTAAAAGAAAAAATAAACAAAAAATTCTCTTGACAGTTACTTAACGTTTATTTAAAAATATGAAGTTTTAAAAAAAACTATAGGAACTGAAATTAAAAACAAATAAAAAATAAAAAAAAATAGTACCAAGTATACGATGTGGGTCCCAGGTCACAAATATCCTTGGGCAAGAGTGCCAATGAGATTACAATTATAATTTTTAAACAGTGACACCTGAATTTCACATATATGTATGTGTATCTATCTGCAAAAAGAGTTTTGTGTTTCACTCTAAAACCAATTGCTGCACATTTCTTAACATCTCTTTCCCGCAACTAGGTTGGCTTCCCCCTCAAAAAGGAAAGAAAGAACAGCAAAAAGAGCACCCACCCAAAAATTTACTGAATCCTAGTTAATTACATTTTGTTAAAGATCCATTCACAGATTGACAAAAATGTCAGCAAAACCAGAGAACGCAATCAAAATCACTTCCAGAGCTTGACACACTTGTCATGACTCGCCGAAGCCACCATTCCCATAACATTTGATACTGCCAAACAAGATACCAGTCTCTCATGTGCAGCTTGAGTCATTGTCTTGTTCTCGCTCATGTTCCAAAGCTCTAGCGTCTGCAAAACAATACATTACTATTGCAAATCAAGACAAAGTCCCAGGTAACACACACCTGGATCAACCCTCAATCCATGCTGCCTTAAAATAAACATCTATAGTTCTTTGTTTTGCCAACAAAATTCAGCATACTTAGGTAGTTAAATAATTTGACATGCATAATATGATGATAAACGATAACCAAGGTGTATATATCTTAGCATTTCTATGAACTTCAACGTTCTGCAACTATAGGAATAGTTATGAATGTTGATTAAAGTTGTAAACTTACCTCATAACAGCCAATGACCAACAGAGAAGGGTAAGTGGGATGGAAAACACAGGTGTGGAATTTGTTGCCACTGCAGCTCAACTCATGAATGCATTCCCCTTTATTGCCAGAACCAACTGTCCACACTTTAACCAAGTCATCACTTACTGATGCAAGATACTCTCCGGATGGATCCCAGCAAATGGAATGGACAAGGCCTTTATGACCCTGTAGTGTAGTCACATGTCATAAATCGAAATACATTATGACTGAATAATGGCTAGTTATTCCATGTAGAAATTCCTAAACTACAAGGAAACTGACATATGTAATAAGAAACACTAGACAACATACGTAATAAGAAATACTCATAAAGGACTTCCAATCAAGTAAATGGAAATTATAAGAATCACTTGTAAATGCTTCCGTGCAATTCTCCTATATTCATAAATTCATTCTCTATTTAACCAAGTTGAAGCCCAAAACACAAGAGAGAGGAAGGGAGAGAATGCAGACCAAAAGGAAAAAAATGAAATAAAAAGGAAAACAATGAAATTATGAATGCTTTCAATCAACTTCATTGGTGGACAATAGAATGCATACTTGAATTCCAAACAATGAATATTGTTACTCAAAATAATCAAATAGCAAGCAAATTATTTTATATATTTAGGAGCTAGAGAATTGGCTAATAAAGAACAATCATCAAAGAAAATCACTTTCACTGTTGTACAAAGCCTCCATTCTTGTGTCAAGATATGCCCCGAAAAGCTTTATGCAAACAAATCAGACTCAACTAACAAAATTCTTAAGGGAAGTATTCATGGGGTAATAGATGTATTTTCTAGGCATTCAAAGAAGCCACAGAAGCACTTAAGACCGTTTTTCCCTTTTAAACAGGAAATCATTTAAGTCTGGCACTCATTACTCTCATTAAACTACAATATAAAACAAACCAACAACCTTGGGCTTAGTGCTTCTGTACTCTCCCATCACAGTGGAAGAGGTTGAATAAGGGGTTTGAATTCCCAACAACTACAAAGAGGTGGCATGGCCACTTAACCAAAAAAATTATAATATCAATTAAAGAGAAATAATGATAAAAAATATCATAAACTTACTTGCAATTTAAATCTGCAGACTTGGGTCTCTACATCAAGTATAGAGATAAAATTATCTGCAGCAGCTGCAATAATCCTACCAAGACGAGGTTGAAACCGGATCTGTGTTGCACCACCCTACCAAATGGAAAAGAGAATAAAATAAACCAACAGAAACTGAAACAACTGTTACAGAATGAATATAAAGTTTCTTTCAGAGATGAATGACAACATGTTTATACTTTGAAAACTCCAGCGCAACTGCCATTCTTGATACTCCAGTATCGGATCTCATTATTGTTATCACAAGAGCAGATAAGGTCCTCTTTGCTAGGATGAAAATCCAATGACATTACAGCTGTAGAATGTCCAGTGAAAGTGCGAAGAGAGTAACCAGGCTGCGAAGCACAAAGATGGGTCTTCAATAAGGAACCACCAGAAGTTAGCACAAAACTTGACAAAGACCAAAAATAGCAGAATATATACACATTTTGAACTTGTTGCTGGACTGTCCTTTTGCAAGACAATTGTCTCCATAACCAAGAAAACAAAGCGTAACCACAACTACAGAAGTCAATTAGCTGAATGGAGGTATTCACTTTCCATAGTGATCCCACACCGAAAGAAACAAAAACTAAACAGTTATATTCAGAGCCTTTTTATAGCTGAAGACATCATAGTGAACTTAAAGAGAGATTTTCCAAAAACTAGCAGACTATTAGTTCTCTTGGGCAACATAAAATGGAGACCTAATCAGCATCTTCAATAGGATTATTAGATTTACCATGCATTCACTTAATTTGTTCCCCTCAAATATTTCAGTAAATGAGATATAATCCAGAAACAATTTACAGAGCAACACGTGTATTCAGTAAAACAGGCCTCACCACAACCACAGAAGTTGGTCAGCTAAATGGAGCTACTCACATTTTACAGAGTAATACTCCATCCAAAGAAACAAAAATAAAAGGGAATACATAGAAAAGTTCTCTTAATAACTCAAATTTCACTCAATCAACAAAAGATCTTGCAAAAAAATTCAGGTAGACCGTTTAAGTTGAGGACATGCTTACTAACATTATCAACATCCCAAACCCTGACTGTTTTGTCAGCTGAAGATGTAGCAAGCCTCGACATGCTTGGGCTGCTTGGATTAAAACGAACATCAGTAATCCATTGGCCATGCTCCTCAAGGGTAGACTTGATAGCAAATGACTCTGTGCTCCATAATACAACCTATAGTACATAGAAGGCTCTCATGTGTCCACAGCCTTAAATAAACATAGTAATGATGAAAAGAGCATCTAGGGCTCATGTGAATCTGCTATACTGCTAATATCTGCTGAGGATTCACAATTGCACTTCATCCAGATCAACATAATGAATCATACCTTCTTGTCATGCCCACCAGTAGCCAGCAACTTTCCATCGGACGAGAAGTGACAACATTCAACTTTACTTGTACTTGCAGAGATACGCTGGATTTCCGTAAATGTCAAGCCTGATATCAAATTACTAATGTCAAACCCATGGGCCCAATTTATAAAAATACAGAAGTTCGGATTCTTCTAAATGTTTGTTTCAGAAGTATTATCTTGTGTAACAGACATACACTCATTTCCCTTCACTATTATTGGCATACTCATAAATGACTGAACTGTACTGATCAGTCCAGTTCTTTCTTGAAGTAATAACGAACGAGGATACCAGATCATTCTATACCTGTTACACGAAATAATTTCTCATATTTTCTGTCCATCAACTCTCTATTACAAACCCCCCAGCCAACCATTAATAAATAGAGAAAAACAAAGAGAACATGCACATGCACACAGGGTTCATTTGGAAAATAAGAAATTTTTAAAGCATACCTTTACTAACATCCGCAGATTGGCCAACTCTATCTCTAGGATCAGCATCATCATGAGATAAAAAAGAATCTACGTTATCATCCAGAGTCCCATCATCCACAAATCGGTCCATACTTACCTGCAATTAATTATCTCAGTTATCCCACTGTGGAAATGTGTGGTAATTACTATTCCTTGCAAATAATTAAATAGAATCAAGAAAAGATCATATTCTGAAATTTTTCATTAACTTGAGTTACGAAAAATGCTTGATTGGAGCTATTTTTATTTCCACCTTCTATTAATTGCACTTTGCAAGAGAGATATTAAAGAGTCACACGGGAAATATTCAGAAGAAGCCGAGAGAAAATATGGAAACCACATCAAGGTAGCTTATATAAAAAAAAGGCTTCATCTTCCTCCTTTAGAAAAGAACATAAACAATAGTCATTCCCTTATACACACACCCAAATCCCTCTTCTTTGCTAGACATGCACCTTCCAACTCTACTGTATATTTCTCTTTCTTTTTTTTTTTAATATAAAGTGTGAAGTGTATTAATATCCGGGACCAAAGGGATTTCAACCCCTATATAAAATATTCACTATATTTCTTTAAACTTAACAATTAAATATTCTAATTGATCTACCAAATTTTCTTTTATTTAAAACTCAACCTCATTAAACTTATGAGAAAAGAGCAAGCTACCATATGAACTCTTGGAAAGTGACTAATACAGAACAAAGACAAGCACGATCCTAGATTGTGCAAAGCTTTAAAAAACAATAAATCCAGGTAGAAATTGACCTAACAAGCACAAAGATATTACATTAGAAAAATAATGACTTACCAATTGATTTGGTGCTGATGTAAGGGAGCCCATACCATCAGAGCCAAACATAAGCATAGGCTTAGAGGAACCACCAGCAGCTGTTAAAGTAGGCATAGACATCACATCTCCTGGTGTGTGAGTCGAAGGGGATGAAGGTGAACTTGGAGATGGTCCAGTGGTGTTTGCAGTCCCTGAACTATTTGCAGGACCTGAAGAGGACACTGGCTGTTTTCTCTTTCGCCCAATTTGACTTTTTGACACCTTAATCAACAGTAAAAATTATCACAAGTTAGTGATGGTTAAGGGTCTTAAACTTGTCATACCAAGAACAAATTTGGCGTTACGAACTGGAAAATTATATGTATCCAGAAATAGTAAGATCCACATACATACTGGTGTAATAGTAAAACGGTCAAAATATGGAAAACAAATCCTCTGTTGTTTGGCTTGGTAATCGGACTAATATCAGGTTTAATAGCATTATAACATACAAGATATAATCATAATACACATATAATTTTAAACTCAGAATCATTTGGAATCAGCAAATACTTGCAAGCTAAGAAGACTATAATATCATGCCTGATCATTTCCCTGAAAGGTATTCGACATGCTACCATCCACACTCATATTGCTAGCACCAATCATTTTATCGTGTTGCTGAAGGATTGAATTCTGAGATTGTTGGCTTGAAAGTGGAAGCTGTGAGTAGTTTTGCTGCAACTGACTGTTATTCTGCAATTGCTGCTGCTGCAACTGAGAAATATTCAAGCATACATGACCAACCATGAAATTCAGCTCTTATTTAAAGAAAAAGAAAGAAAAAGGAACTAATACTTAATCCTAACTGCAGGAAAAGAAAATAAAACCTTAATCAACATCTCAGTATCAGCACGAGGCAACATGGGACAACCAGGTTGCATAGGCGAGCCAACATTAGGAACTAGGTCACCAGGTGAATTTAATGAGCCATCTTTTCCAAGATTGATGTTATGATTGTTAAGAAACATTCTTAGTTTTCTGCCTTCTAAATCATTGGAAGATGAAGATGTCAAACTTCGGTGTGCCTGAAGCATAAGTTGCTGTTGTAACTGAAGTTGACTTAATGGCTGAGAGGGTGACATCAAAGACTTTTGCTGCTGAAGAAGCCCAGATCGTATTTGATCCAGTCCCTGAAAAGATTTCAAACCAGTCATCTGAGACAAAACCCAAAAACATCCACCTTAAAGGAAAAATATCTTTTAACTGTCATCAGACAAAGATTAAACAGAGAAACAGAATAACATCAGCTTTGAATAACAAAAGTGTTATGCATTCAGCAAACAATAAGAAACAGATGATCTGGGATTTTGTATTCTAGCTAATAGATAGAAGAAGCTGCCGAGGAAATTATTTCTCAGTGCACCTCAAAAGACAAATAAAGTCTTTTGACAAAGCGACCTCATTCATAAACATTTCAAGATATCTCCATAAACTACCATAGGAATGTTTTCCTTCATAAAAATCCACAATGCAGATTCCTATTAGAAACAAGAATTTTGCTCCAACAGCAATTGAGTAAAAACAAAGATTTATAGAAGGTAACCCAAAAGAAAGATTGCCATAAAGAAAATTTGAGATTAAACCAGGAATACCTTTTTTTTCAGTAAGAGATTAAACCAGGAATACAAAATGCTAGTAAAAAACATCCAAACGATTTAGTTCATTTGATAATACAACATAATGCCTGAACAATACTGTGTATTTTATTTTAATAATACAGCACAGTGCCTTTGACCAATACTATGTAGTGTCAATGTATTTTGACTTACTAAGAACTCATTTAAGAGTCTAATCAGCATTTGGGTGCCGAATAGCCCTTAAAAAACAACTAATCTGGCGTCATGACCATCCACCATGATAGAAAATGAGTGCAGATATCTATAGCTGTCACCTGGTTAAAGAAAACTTACTGTTAAAGGCCACCCTTTCAGTGTCAAGTTGCAACCACCTTGATTTGATCCTGAGATAACATCATAATAATAATCAAAACTGTCAAAAATTATAAGTCAAAACGAAATTCCAGAACCAACAACTTGACCACGGGTCCCAATTTTTCAATTACATTTTAGTTCTCACTGTTGAACGCTAACAAGGATATTTAACAACTTCCTGAAGTTTATAAAGCACCACTGAGGGACGCAGAGAAGGAGACCCGATTCTTTAATCTATATAGAAGAATTTTATAAAATATAATTTTTATCAGGAAAAATTGTTATCCCATTCCAAAGACATAAAAAAAGACTTTTGTGTCATAAATTTTAACATCCAGGGAATGTAAAATGATTGACTTAAGTATTTTAGCAAGGGAATAATAAATCCCAACTATTTACTAGCAACAAAATGACTGGAAAATCTGCAGTTGTCAAATGATGCCGATCGTTGTAAAAAATTTTACCCCTAGGTTTTATACCTGATGAGAAATAGCAAACAAAAGTCGCGAGAATATTGTTTTAATACATAAGCAAATATTAATATGCAACAACAAAAGATCAGTACCCTGAACTCCAATCAATGATCCCTCTGTTCCAGCAACTCTAGGGTTCATCACTGAGTTCATCTCATTCTTTATATCCTGTTCAGTATCACGACATGGCAGAAGGTAAGAAATGAGAAATAGAAATATAACATGAAGAAGGGGAAAAGATCATTACCTGAGTAGTTACAGAAAGTTGCTGCATCCGATTTTGATTTTGTTGAAGATTATCCGGAATACCTCCTGATGTATTATGCAAAGTTTGCCTGCAAACAATAAGTTCCACAAAAATCAAATTTCAAGTCAGTCATATGCAAGATCATAGAGAATGCTCTAACTAGAATTCAACAAAAATAACATATGGAAATATATATTTATATGTATTTTTATGGAGGAATACCCAGGTGGTTGACCACTCCCAGCAGCTCCTTTTATCATTGAAGCCTGATTAGGATCCACAAGCTGGCCCATATTGTCTCCCAACCTTGGCTGTATAATCATTAGATGTCAAAAACTGTAAAGATGTGAAAGTAAAAGAATACCTAGTCATCAATAACACAGTACCTTTATAGCAGCATCGTCCATAGAATCCCTCTGAACAGGAAGCTTTAGCCTGTCCTCGTACATCTTTGTGGCCAAGGCACTGGCAGTTGCAGGGCTCTGCACCATAAGAGAATCACCGCCAACAAGACCGTTGCCAGAGCCATTCAGAAGCTGGGCACCATCTCTTCGCCTCTGCTGCTGCTGCTGCTGCTGCTGCTGCTGCTGAGCATGCCTTTGCAATAAAAGCTGCTGCATCTGCATCTGTTGCTGCTGCGGAGGCCTCTGATGCTGTTGTTGTTGTTGCTGCTGCTGCAGCTCCCGAGCTTTAACCATTTGGGTCTGCTATTTCCAGCATTATTATTCTATGCCTACCAAACCAGTACTCCAAAAAGAAAAGTATAAACCAACAAATTTTCTTCATGAAAGAAGTTAAAATGAAAGCCAAAATGGTAAAACATCCTAAGCATACACAGTACACCTTTTGTACCCCAAGAAATAAAATCATCCAAACATCAAAGCACATTGTCACCAGCTCTTTCCCTTGCAACTTTCAAAGAAATAATAGATGAGATAAAAGCTAATAAACCCACCTCAATGTATGAAGCAGCAGCTTCAGAATGCTTCTCATTTGTGCGGGCAATGAATATGTCCCAAAAGACAGACCACCATTCGAAAAGAAAACCACCAGGGGCATCAATAGCTGGCACATGTTCAAAGAAAATTTAACATTAATCAAGTCATAAGAAGAGAAAGTAAAAACTAGAAGATTATATTACATACTGAAACTGTTTTCCTTTGCATTGTTCATGAATGCCTACCTACAGGATCTGTCGAGACTTTGCCTTCTGCTTGAAAGGCCTTGGCAGAAGCATGTAATTTCCTCTTCATAAGATAATCATATATATACACATCCAACCTATTATCCAAGGGAAAACGAAAACACAACAAATAGATAAAATTTTCACACAAGAAAGATTGTAGACCAGAGGCACATGTTACAGATACGCGAAGCTCAAACCCCAAACTCATATAAACTGATGTTCTCTAAGTCAAGGGGGAAAAAAAAGCTACAAAAACAATAAAAATCATACTGAAATGCAGTCCTCTGCCCAACTGAACCACGGAAGCAGAATTGAACTTATATTTTTCCATAATCTAGAACAAACAACTCACTAGACATAAATTTTTAATCCTCTTCACCTTTGTTTCAAGTTCCTGAGCATTCCAATACATTAAGCTTATTTGATTGTCCTAACAGCAATGCAAAAGAACACAGGAAAAAACGAAGCAAGCAGATGTGTTCAGTTTCCATCTTAAACCCCAGTGTTATCAACTAGAGAATACGATCTTCATAATACCCTGACGAGTTTTTGCCTCGGTTAAACTAAACAGAGGACTTCAGATGTAACTGAATGATTAAGATGAGCAGTGAACCCAACTTCCTTTGCTCATTTTCGTGGTAAACCAAAAAAATAAAAGAGCAAATAGAAGATGTATTCAGAATTTAATGACCAACGGTAGAAACAAAATAAAGATGAAGACAACAAAAACCATAGATTATTTTTTAGTCTATAACTATACTCGAAAACAAAAGAGTAGCATGGCCGAGAATAAAGAAACCGAAAATCAAAACCCCATCTACAAACAACCCCATAGACAGTAAATTAATCAATAACAAACCAAAAGGACTAACGAAAAACAGAACATCCGTGGACATAAAATGTAGAATATTTCCGAATAGAAAAAAAGAAGAAAAGCGGGATCATATGTGAAAAAATTCAGATAAACAGAAAACCCAGAAAATCTATCGTCTACCCATTTTACCGGACATCGCAAATGGCAAAAATGAACAAACAACAAGGAAATGAAACAAACCGCCAAACCATAAAAACAAGCTCCCGTCCCAAACGAAACCTAGAAAAGCCGATAACCTTAAAAGGAAACAAGCACCAATTACATTAAAACGTGTAATACTCACATTTTATCAGCCTCCCAGTTTGTCTGCGACATGTTTATAGTAATAATTAATAGCAAACAACCAAAAACCTCGAAAACCTCCCGCTGAAAAGCAAGAATGTTCCAAGAAACAGGCAATTCTCCCAAGTAAAAGACTCCAAGAAGGAGACGAACTACCCGCTTCAGGTTTCCCCGAACAAATGATAAAACAAAACCAATTCTTCAGTCCGTTCCCTCAACTCTTTTTCAGTCTTTTTTTCTCCTCTTTCCCTCGAGAAAGTTTTAGGGCGTTTGAGGGTAAACTTCACACGCAAGATGCAGACAGTTCTCGCAGAGAGTCGCAGGCGTTGGTTGCCATTTGCATTGACCGGGCCCCTTTATAGTCAACCTTTATGACGTGGACCTGAACACGCACACAAAATAAATAAATAAATGAAAATTCTTAAAATAAATTCATCCTTTTTATTATACTATATAATAATTGTAAAGCTAAAATTTTTAATAACATTCACGGTTTATACTTCTAGAATGCGTAAAAATAAGAGAAAACCGCTTTGGTGGGGATTTTTTTTCTTTGGAAAATAACGGGAAAAAACAAAAGAAATGGGTGAAAACTGTGAAAGTGTCGATTGTCAAAGAAGACGAAGACGAAAAAGAAGAAAAAAGTAAGGAGACAAGAAAGGTGATACACGCAGGTGGCGATGGTGGGGCATTCGAGTATGGAGAGAGAGAGAGACGTTAAACAGTGCAAAGTTGGTGAATGACGAGGATAAACGTTTTCTGATGATTTGCGAACAGAGAACGAAAATGAAAATCATGCATGAAAAATGAGATGTCTGCTCTGCCTTTTCTCCTTGTCCCGCTTCTGACGTATGCGATTTGTTATGTTACGAATATAATTCTCAGTATCATAATTTTTTATAATTTTTGTGTTTTTGTTTAATATATATTAAAATTTTGAATTTAAAAAAATTTTTAGTAACGAATATTCTTTTTTATAAATGAATTTTTAAGAGGAAAAAAAATTCCTCGTGTGAGATAAAATCTCTCACAGGTGGGAGAGAAATTTTTGGGATTGTAGAACACTTTAATAGCTGTCTCTTCCTTTGGTTTGATGGGATCGGCTTCCCATTTTCAAAGCCTTCAAAATTTGGCCTAAGACTTTTTTCTTTATGGATCAATCATTTAACACAAGATTAAAAGTCTTCCTTTAGCTTAGACCCATGATATTACTCCATCCATAAAGTCTGAATGGATCATGAGCGGTTTTCAAGTCTTACTTGTCTCCAAATGGTGTTATCATAGACCAAATCATCTTAAATTCCACTTGGATGGGCGATCTATGCTTAATGAGACCTAAATTGTGGCATTTTAAGCTCATGAGGCCATGGTTTCCTTTCTAGCCGTGAGCTTTCAAGCTCGTAAGGTTGTGGTGGCGACCTGTAGTAACTGGAAAAAGGGAAAAGAAAAAAAAAAGAAAATTTGTTTGGAGGAAACGACGCCGTTTTGAAGAGGAGAAAACGACATCGTTTTGAGTAAGCTGGTAGGATATAAATGGAGGTCGGGGAGGAAAGAAAAGGGGAGGAAAAAAAAAGAGAAAAGCAGGGAAGAAAGAGAGCGGGAAGGAGGAAAGAAGAGAGGGAAGAAGGTTCAAGAAGAGAAAGAGAGGGGAGTCGGAGCGGAGAGGAGTGAGAACGGAGAGAGAAGAGGGCCGTGGACGGCGAACGATGCGATCGGCAAGAGGAAGGAAAATGGAAATGGGAGGTACGGTAAAAACTTTGGTTGTGTAGGTGTTGTGTGAGTTGTGATGTTATTTGCAGGTTGTAGAGGCCAGGTAGTCCATAGGTAGCTGGGCGGAGCTGAGAGGTGGAGTGTAGGACGAAATGACGGAGGCGTTCGCGGAGGAGGCTGTGGGAAGGAGAGGATGGCATTGTTGGGGCGTAGGGGAGATCCGTGGGAGAGAGGGGAGGTCATGTGAGGAGAGTGTGAGCACAGAGGGAAGGTCACTAAGAGGAAGAGTGAGTAAGGAAATTGGCGTGTGTGGGGGATCCGAGATGACGAAGGGAATGGTGTGCGAGAACGGGAGTGCGGAGGGAGTCGCGAGCGGAAGGAGCAGGAAGAATGACTTCGGTGAGTGTCCAATGAGAGGGGTGAGTGTGGTGAGTGTGACAGTAAGAGTCCGGACTGTGCGAAGGAGGGGACCATGGAATAGGAATCGATATGTATGAGGAGTTTCGGGTGAGGGAAGAGGTGTATGAAACAGTAGGGAGAGGTAGGTTTAGAGGGGGATGAGAATGTAGTTGCTGGAGATGGGGATGGCACAGGAGGGGATTGTAGAGTGTGGTTTAGGGTGGGAGAGTAGGGGCGCATTAGTAGTGGTGTAGCGGGAGTGTGGTGAGGGGAGATAGGTTGGTATAGTTGCTATAAATTTAAAGATTGGTGAGGGAACATCGCCGACATATGTGTGAAGTGTTGGTGTGTGTGACCTAATAAGGTCAAGAGGTAGAGGAGTAAGCATGGGTCACCGATGTTGGTGACGTGAGATAATAGTACTGGTGCGTGTGTGTGGCCATTGGGGTCGAGAGGTGGATGAGTGAGTATGAATCACCGATGCTGGTGACGTGAGATAATGGTATTTGTGTGCGTGCGTGGCCTATTGGGGTCGGGGTGTGGAGGAGTGAGCATGAGTCGCCGATGTTGGTGACGTGAGAAAACGGTATTATGTGTGTGAGTGGCCATTAGGGCCGAGAGGTGGAGTGAGTATGAGTCACCCAATGTTGGTGACGTGAGATAATGGTATTTGTGTGCGTGCGTGGCCATTGGGGTCGAGAGGTGGAGGAGTGAGCATGAGTCACCGATATTGGTGACGTGCGAGAACGGTATTGTGTGTGTGAGTGGCCAT